GCGGCCGCGGTGGCCGCGGATCTGCCGCGAGGCATGACGGAGAACGGTTGTTGGTGGATCGGTCAAGACGATGAAAAAAAAAAGCCAAGATTCACGCGCTACGCCTCCAAACAGCCTTTCCCCTCCTCCTCACCGGAGATTCTGCTACCGCTGGCGATCTTCCATGGCACCGACGGTTCCACGATCGGATCGGGTTAGCTTCCGATGCTCCCAAAAACTTTTTTTTTTCCTCTTCGCACTGTTTCTCTCCGGAAAAAATCAAAACCCGGTGCCCTTCTTGGTCACGATTTTCTAGTATTTCATTTCATTACGCTGCTAAAGCCTAAAAGATACAATTATGAATTATCCACCCATATGAAATGACGTAACTGCCCCTGCTTCCTTTAGGGCCATGGTTTTTTTTTAAAAAAATTTAGTTATTTTTTAATAGACCGGTTGGCGAAGAATTTAATATATTAAGCAAAGAATACCTATTTATATATATATACACACTTTTTTGGTATTCGAAAAATTGGAATATGGACTATGCTTTGACGGTCACACTCTTGTATGTTTGGTGTATTGTACGTTATCGCATTATATATAGACACCATCATTTTCTCGTAAAATCAATTATATGTACGTCAATTTTAATTACATGAAAATAGATTAAATTAATGTTATTAGCATATAGAAAATTTTTAAAAAATAAGATATATAATTATCTTAATCGTATTTAAACTAAATTAACCAATTTTCAATTTTCAATCTAAGATAACAAAATATAAATCTATTTAATGAAAAAATGAATACAAACGAAATTTAAATCGAATTGAAAACGGAATTGATTTTCTAAACAAAAAAAATGAACTCAAAAATAACCCAATAGACACTCAAAACATCATCATACTCCTAATTGAAATAGCAAATTTGGGGAAATTAGGGTACTACCACTTTAATTGGTGTATAAAAATAAGGTTTACATGGTTAAAATATTTTTTTATATATGGTTAAAATATTTGTGTGATTAAAGATAGTAAACAAATACATGGTTAATATATATATATATATATATCCTGCAAACTTATCCGTTTTGAACATCATATCAGCCGTAACTTTGCTTCAAGCGACGCCAAAGCAACAGACAAAAGCCATTCACAGAACAATCATCAATGGCAACCGGTGAAATCTGACTTCAGACAGACCGGCCGGTTGGTTCCTTGGCCTCTAAGTCACTGTTTCCACCGCTTGGTTTCATGTCCTTTGTTCTGCCCATTCGTTCGAGACTCGACCAATGGATCCGGCAAGAGGGTCAAGCCGTGAGCAAAAGGGTACTGTACTTGGACGCTGTTAGGACCAAAAGTGGATAGGAAAATCAAGAAAGCATATGATAATTACCGTCTGCGACAGAAATCAGAGCAGGAACTTACGGGCCGGGAGGGGAGCGTAAGCTTTGTTTATCGCACTTGCAACGCTATTTTTGAGCGGCTTGTTCTTTTGGATGATGAATACTCTTGCACCTCTGCCTCCATATATATATAGTTGCTACTTGCTAGCCACACTCGGGTCGCTAGGATTTTTCTTTAGTAGATTATGAACTGACTTGCCCAACTTCTGATCCTGAAAATGGAGGAAGTTTAGGGTTTAGATCCTCCGATCAGTTCCAAATGTAACAAAATATGATTCAAATATTTGTTTGAGCCATTAACAGATGCCAAGATGCGATCGAGATATGCCACCCTTTCGCGTCGCAAGTCCAAGAACACCGAACAAGACGGGGAAAAAGTGTCGTTTCTTCTGTCGTTTAGGTGATGATATTCACCGGTCGGTGTCCATATTTGCAAGACCATAAAACCATAATATAATGCATATATGAGAATCTTCTACAATGAATCCAAGAATCCTTCTGATTCTACAATGGATCTAGGCATCGCAGTTAATCACCGATCCAGAATCAGAATCTTCTGAACCATTCATTCATATGATGGCAGAGCAAAGACACTTCAGTAAATAACAAATTCACAATCGAAATCTTCTACCCCTTCATCTTATTTATTACCAAAGTATAAACGCCGAAAGTATGTTTCTGAGCCTGATTTAAGAAACCAAATGGCATCTAAGACAAACCCTAAAATCTCGGAATCGAAACACGTACCAGAGTTCTCAGATCATTTTCGGACAAGCCCAGGAAAAAAAAAAGATTTAAAAAAATCCGTGTACCTTCAACGTTTTCATTGGATCGATCCCAACTCTGCATTAGAATGAATTAAAATATAAATTAAATGGGGTAACGAATAAGCAAATCGGAAAACAGAGATCAGATTTGTCTGCCCGAAATAGAAAAAAAATTATGGAAATAGAAAAATCGGATAAAACTGTTGAAGTCTTTTTTTCATATATCATCACCATATCATGCTATAAAATTTATGGAAAATGTGTTTCATCGAGAAAAAAAAATATTAAGAGGATTAATAACGATTTTTTTACAATATAAATTCAATTGAAAATAGAAAATAAATATATGTAAAGTAATTAAAAATGGTTTGTATGTGATACGGAAGAAAATAAAAACTCATGACTCACCATTTTTAGTTTTGGACCGCACAAAGTACCAAACATGATTAGAGTCAAAGCAGTCAAACCACAAACACATGCAACGTGAAACGAATTAAAAACACATGCAACAAAATGAAACAAAAAAATATAATTAATAAATAGGCGTATATATATATATATGTATTTCTGTAAATTGTAATGTTAACTAATAATATAGCTTTATGATAAAAGAAATTGCTCAACAACCCACCCGCTACGTACCAAACCAATAAAACGCTTTGAGAAAATATAAATCGGTGAATTATGCACCTCACCATATGTACCATTTTCCGTACGATATAAAAACGAAATGGCCCACAATAAATATATATATATATATATATAATATTACGGTGATATCAGTTAATATAAAGCCAAACAATTATTTTGTAATTTTTGTCATGACACAAAAATATGCATATTTCTAAAATTAAAAACAAGCGAAAAAAATGTATGTCTTCATCTTCTCACGACGTTTTAGAGTTTTTAGAGGGGCAATTATCAAAAATGCCCTTATTTTGCTACATTAACTTCATGGCATACCCCTCACTTGGCGGAAAAAAAAAAAACATCTTCAGACAATACCTTTATAAAATTGCTCTCTCCATAATACCCTCGACACCTTTTTTTTAATCTCTCGATTTGCGTTTCTCTCTCTTCTTGTTTCTCTCTCCTCACGCAGTTTCCCACCTTCTCTCGCGATAAATTCCTGCCGAAAAAAAACCAGAAATTACCGGCGAAATCACAGCTAATCTACCGGCAAAATCCTTCGATTTGCCTCGCGTTTCTCTCTCTTCTCGTTTCTCTCCCCATAAATTCTCGCCGAAAAAAACCAGAATCTACCGGCGAAATCCCGATTCTACCGTCAAAATCGCCTCAAATCACAGCAGTTCAGTGAGATCTGTATAGATCTAGGAAAAAGGCAAGTTATCATCGCACAACCCAGTATTTATTTTCGGTTTAACTCGACATGTTAGTATAGATATGACCTCATTTTTCTTATATATATCACTAAAACCGGTATTGAATGGTCACGTTGGTCTCACTGGTCACGTTAGTCACGTTGGTCACGTTGGTCACACTGGTCACGTTGGTCACTCTGGTCACACTGGTCACGTTGGTCACACTGGTCATGTTGGTCACTCTGGTCACACTGGTCACTTTGGTCACTCTGGTCACTTTGGTCACTCTGGTCACACTGGTCACTTTGGTCACTGTGGTCACTTTGGTCACTCTGGTCACTCTGGTCACTTTGGTCACTCTGGTCACTCTGGTCACACTGGTCACTTTGGTCACTCTGGTCACATGTATCTTACGAATCTTATTTATTCTATACAGGCATAATGGATGCAGTCGACGAGAAAATCACAATTATTTATTTCAAGTCTGATGGAAAGTGGGTATTGAATGGTAATAGGGAATACGAATGGGTTGGAAAAGTTAAGGATGGGAAGGGAGTTATATTCATGCGTCCTCCAACTGAATTGAAATACAAACGTCTTGTTGAAGAGTTATATTCTGAAATGGATGCTGACCAAAGTAAAACAGACATGAAGCTGAGCTATTTGCCAGCTTTAAAAGGAGGTACTGAGTCGATTTACATATCGAATGATAAACAAGTTTTAATTTATCTTCTGGACAAAATGAATGGAGGCAGAAACATGCTTCACGTGGAGATAGAAAAGGCGAGGTCAGAAAATGAGTTTAGAATTCCTGATTTAGCGAGTTGTGTTGGACCATATGGATGTATAATATGTGTAGGTTATAAGGATTGCGATGTTATACAGAGTCCAAATTTCAAGAGTAAAGTTGGGAGTAATAGTTTGTGTATTGGAGCAGCAGCAGCAGTTGAAGTGAATGGAAATGCGACAGATGTAGTGGACTCTGTAAATGATATTCTCGTCGATACTGTAGTTGATCGAAATGAGATTGGTACAGATTTAGTGGACCGTGAATCTGGACTTGATGGAAATGAGAAGGTTGTAGTGGAGTGTGCAACGACTATGCAAGCTGAAAGCACGTCTGATATGGCCATGGTAGTTGTGGAGGACTCATTGTTTTGTACTTCAGTATTCGAATTTACGGATGGATTGAACATAGATATTGGGTATGAGTTTAATAATAAGCAAGAAGCGCAAGAATATATACGAAAGGGTTCAGTTAAGGCTTGTTTCAGCTATGTTACAGTGAAGTCTGACAAGAAGTTGTGGGAGATAAGATGCAAGTTTGCTGGATCAGGTTGTAACTGGAAATTACGCATCGCATCGATCCCGAGTTCGAATCGTTTTAGCGTAAGAACACACAATCCAAT